ATACCATACAAAAGACTTTACATTTAAAGCTAGTGGTTGATTCATGATGATCTGACATATGCTGTCATATTAAAGAGGAAGCTCATACAGAAATCGAATTGAAATATTTTTTTCTCTGGTGTCTAAAACCATAAATATTTGGATGAATATTGGGAACAGTTAGAGAGCTGCACACCACCACAGAAGATTTTAAATCAAGCATTGAAGATATGACTCAAGTGCAGACTTCCATTTGAGGTGTTTTAACAAAAGTATTGTATTAACTGTTTCGCACACATTGTTATACAAAGCCCCTGATTTTAGAGGCTCAAAAGTAACTGAATAAGAAAAATTTAAAAATAAGGATTAATTAAACTACTTTTGCTGGAAACCTTGAAGTCTAGAACCCTTGGACATTACCAAATGCCTACTGCAGGCTAAAAAGTATGATTGTGATCAGATGAGGTCTGTTCCCTTATTATTCCATGATAAATACAGCTGATAAAAGCCCCTGAAAGGATTGCATTTAATTCTCAATGAGGTCCAAAGCGGTGTTGATGCAAGTGAAGTAAGCTATCATTAGCCTGAAAAAGCAAAATAAATCGAAGATGTGTTTTAATATTTGGATGAAAACTGACATCATCAAATGCTGCATTTACTCCTTCAGATGCTCTGCCAGGACTTTACTGTTGCTCCTTCAGTTGCTCTTTGTGGGTCTTTCTGCCACCATTTTTATATTTAATAACTAAAAACATGTCAGGTGACTGTCTTAGCCATTGAGGAATCTCACATTTCTTTACCTTGAGAAACTCTTGGGCAGCTTTTGCCCTGCACTTTGACTCACTATCCACTATCCATCAAATTGAATGGTTCTTGGATCAGTTTCGAACTTTTGGCTGAACCTGAACCTCAATGCCTCGCACACTTTAGAACTAATTCTGCCACTTCTATCAGCAATCACAATATTAATAAACACTAGAGGTCCAGTTGTGTTGGCAGCCACACATGTCCGTACCATTACATGCCTTCACCATGTTTGACGTATGATGTGGTATGGTATGTTTCTGTCTCCATCATTCTGGTTTTTCTTTGCAATATTTCTTCAGAACTGTGCAGGCTCCTTTAGATACTTTCTGTCTTTTACAAGATACTTTTACTTTGTCATGAAATAACGAAGATAACAGCATCATCATAGAGGTGCCTGTCAGTCAGTTGTCCAATTACTTTTTAGCCTCTGGAAACTGAGGACTATGTACAAAAATAGCTATTATTACAATTTGTTTGTTAAAGCTGAAGGCCTGCACTTCAATCATGTCTTGATTTCTTGATCTAAAATCAGTGAGGAGGCGTCCAGAGTCCAAATTTCATTCATTTGGAATAATTCAGCAGTGACTCAGTGAAAATAACAAAAAAAAAATCCAATCACTTTGCTTTTGGGTGAGCAGTTTCTGTTAGGAACAAGTTTCTTTCTACTGAGCTACATCCATCAATCTTTTCAATGTGACTACAAAAAGAGTGACTATTATCCCCCTCAGCTGAGCTGCAATATCTCTTTTAGTAATAAAGTACTAAATAGTTCCCTTTAATTGGATTTGAGGATGAACTGTCTTCAAGAAATCACAACATCTTAACTCTGGTCCAAGATGTCATGATAACTAAAGATACACTTAAACACTTTTAAATACGCTTAAAAATTACACTCTTTGTGTAAATCATCACTGATGAGCGGATCACTCCCAGTAGATCGATCCATTTAGTTTGTTTAGGAAAAAAGCTCTCAGCTTACTCATAATTTCTATAAAACTGGACCTACATAAGACAGTTAAACAGTTCTGTGTGACATGCGATTTTAGGTGTCTATTAAAGAAGTAAAGTCTGATGTAAAGCACATATCAAAGTGTATCTCTGTAAAACCAGCATATAAGGTGGTGATGCATAGCCCTAAGCAGATTTAAAAAATACTTTTTCCATATGAGATATTAAGTTACACAAAATCAACCAGCTGATAAGCTGACATGGTCCAAAAGCCTCTCAAACATCTTAGTCAGTTTATTGCTTTGACCAGCAACCATTTCCAAAATTTCAATAACCCTGCACAGGTTTTGTTTTAAACATAGAGAACAATATAAAGGTTCATCATGCCAGCCATCATCAGCCTACTTCAGCTTTGGGAATGTCTCAAATCCGGTCAACCTCTAATTTCTTTGCTGTCCTTTTCAACATCTTCTGTCTATTTGTAGAAGGAAAGGTACACACCAACAAGAACATTCTCAGATCATAGCCCAAAAATGCAAATGATCCCTTCCCCAAGTCCCAGAAAAAAAACATACCGCTTTCAAAATGTGCATAAAAAGCAGCATGAAGTGACAGCTTAAACCAAAACATCTTGCACAGTTTAATCAGTACAATTGCAAAGTGCTTAATTGTTGTTTGTCTTAAAGGAGAAATTGCATGGTTGTTTGAAAATCTCTGCTCTACTTTCTCCCTCCGACACTTGTGCTCTGATAGAAAATCCTTGTTGTCTAGAAAATCCAGTCTCATTTCTGATGTCAAGAGGCAGGAGGATAACAAACAACAGTGTGTGTGTACCTGTGTTTTTGTGTTTGCATGTGTTGTGTGACATGAGATGAAAAGTGAAGTGTATTGTACTGTATATCATGCATGCATTTTTATACTACGTTAGCTATATGTAGATACAAACACAACAGTCTGCTTGTATTTGATTCATGCTGTTAGCAGTCGTCATCCTCAAAGTGTGTTTTCTGCAGAACCTTTACATGACGTTCATAGATCTTGAGGGCGGGGCCAAGTCTGATTGACAGGCCAGTCAAAACATCATTACGCTGCATGAGGAGAAGTGACTTTCCATCGATTTCCTAATGAAGAGAGCAAAACAGCGCATGCAGGTGCATGTTGATTACAAGTGTTTAAAGTGAAGCGCAAGCCATTGAGCTTCTGTATGGTGCACTCTAGTGGCAACTAAGGAAGATCACAGCCTTACCTGGGTCCTGAACGCAGCAGCCTGCTCAGGGAAACCCGCTGCTGTGAAATAACTGACAACATCTGACACTGTCCAGTTTACTGGGCTCCCATTGACGCCCTCAGACTTCACGAGCCTGCAAAAATAACACAGTTGGTCAAACAGAAAACATGCAGGAGGCGACGTTGAAACAGTCAATTTTAACAGTTATAGTGCTGCCAGATTTATTTTTCCTCTCTTTTGTAAATTCTATAGTGCATAGCACGACTGCAGAAAAACTATCAATGCTTTTTCATTTCATAAAACTGGTAGAGAGCTGGGGCCAGAGATCTGGATCACTTTGTCTAACCTTGCAGAAGTCATTCGCCTCTAGTATGCTATGCATTGACTTCCTGTGTTTCAGTGATTACTTTTGTGTCACAGTTGGTATAATCATATGTCTCACTTTATTTTAAGTGTATAATGTAATCAGGGAAGTGCTTATATTGCACTACACAATATCCTGTGATTAAGTGCTTGGTGGTGATTAGTTGGATATTAAGGTTGAAATTAAACTCACACAACTGTTAAAATATTATAACTTTTTTGTGTCCTGTCTGCAGATTGAAGCTAAGATCTCACAGGTTAAGTACAATTGTTTAGTTTTAATTTATGGGTGGTCACATCCATATTGGCTGAAAAGAGTCCATCAAATATGGGCAAATATCAAATATGACACTAAACAAATGTAGGATAAAATAATGTGAAAATGAAAGTACACCATCCGTGAGTTTCAGGGTTTTTATATATTATAATAAATGTCACCTTGTAGAACCACCTCTGCCACATCACTGTCAAACAATTTTAGCCAGCTCTTCTTTACAACGTTGCTTCAGTTCAATGAGGGGAGTTGTTTATGCACAGCTCTCTTAAGGTCCCACCACAGCATTTCAATCAGGTTGAGGTCTAAACTTTCAGTGGGCAATTGGAGCACCTTCCTTTTCTGTTTTTAGCCATTTTTTGTAGATTTGCTGCTGTTCTCATTGATCATTGTCCTGTTGCAAGATCCAATTTGGGACAAGCTTTGTCTGTCAAACAGAAAGTCTCCTTTTAGGAGAGCATCCTAACGTACGGGATAACATCATGGTATGCAGGGTGCTCAGCTGCGGACAGGAAAGTACTGCAGAGGGTCATCAACACAGCCCAGAAGATCACTGGCTGCTCTCTGCCCAGCCTGGAGGTCACAGCAAACTCTCGGTACCTCAGCAGAGCTGGCAATATCATCAAGGACCACTCTCACCCCAGCAATCAACTGTTTGAACTATTACCGTCAGGCCGACGGTACAGGTCACATAAAACCAGGACAAACAGATTCAGGGATAGCTTCTTTCCCAGAGCTATCACCGTAGTAAATAAGCACAAAAACAATTGAACCTATTCCATACCGTCACTGTCATTATATTAATGCTGCTATCCTGTATATATTGTACATACTATTGTTTGAGTACTTACGATTGTTTTTTTTGTACTTTTTATATTTTACATTTATATTTATTATTGAAACTTGCACCAAGGGAGTGGCACTCCAATTTTGTTGTATTCTGTACAATGACAATAAAGGCTATTCTATTCTATTCTATTCTCATGTTTCACTCAAGAATACTTTGGTATACAGAGGAGTTTGTGCTCAACTCAATGACTGACAGATATCCAGGTCCTGTGGCTGCAAACCAAGCCCAATTCATCACCCCTCGACCACCGTACTGACAGCTGGTCTGAGGTGTCTGTGTTCATACGCTGTTTGGTTTTTTCTAAATGTGACACTGAACATTACGGCAAAACATCTCCAGTTTAGATTCGTCATTTTTCCAGATGCAACTTTGCAAACCTAAGCTGCGCTGCCATGTCCTCTTTTAGCAAGAAGAGGCTTTCTCCTGACAACCCTTCCAAACAATCCACGCATGTCAGTCTTGTTCTAATTGACTTGTAATGAATTTAACATTAAACATGCTGACTGAGGCCTGTAAAATGTGAGACGGAGTTCTTGGGTTTTTTGCAATTTCTCTAAGCATTGAAGGGTCTAAGCATGGAAGGAATTTACTGGTACATCTACACAGACAGACAAATAGATATTTTATGATCCTGCAAAGGAAACTGCTGTGTTACAGCAGCAAGAAAAAGAAAAAAAACATAGTATATTATACAATAAAAACAACATTTTCAAAGGAAAAGTACCAGAGGCCCATAGTGAAGGTCTTATAATGAGAGGTAGTGCAAAAAAAGCAAAAAAAAAAAAATCCTAAAAATATAAAACTAAGATTGTACAAAAGTTGACTGCAAATAGCATTAATAAATAATATGTACACAACAAGAAAAAGCAGAAACAAGCTGGGAAGATGGACAGCTGTCTTGAATGTTTTCCACTTGTGAATAATCCTTCTCAGTGCAGAATGATGGACTTTAAAATGTTTGGAAATGGTCTTATAACCCTTTCTGTATTGATGGGCAGGAGCAATTGCTTCACCAAGATCATTGCTGCTGTGTTTCTTCTTTTGCACTGTGTTAACACACACCTGAATGCTCCAGACCAGCAAACTGCTAAAAATCTGCTTTTATAGAGGAAGTCACGCCTTCTGATGATTAGTTAATCAAGTGCATTTGGCTGCCTCTTACCCTGATAATTCCTATCAAGGTTTATTTAGTTTTTCACACACTGCTTCTGTATTTAGTTATAAATTATATAAATAATAACACAGTATAATATGTCATGTTTTGTAGCTCATTTGACGTTCTAATTTTAGAACCTGCTAAAGCCCAGGTGTCTTTTTAAGGTATCCTGATATTTTAAACCTTGCAATAGAATCAGGGCGTACTTTCTTCATCACATGACCTTATCTGAAAAAAAAAAGCCTTCAAAACAAACAAGAAGTAAATCATCTGGCAGAATTGGCTCAGCATCACCAAGAAAACAATATGTGTTAATGTCTATCTAAAATTGATCAAAAATATGAAATAAACTCAATTTTATTTATTTAATTTTAATCAGTCAAATGTTACAATGCAAACTGGTCTGTGCAGGACTGCAGCGAGAAATCTGTTGCAGAGTTATTAAAGTTTTGTAATTCATCTTTTTTATTTTATCTAAACAGTTTTTAGTTTTAGGAATAGTTTTCTTCTTTGAGTTTGATTGTTTTTTATTGTTTTGAAGAAAATGACAACATACAGAGAAGGACAACACATCACTCCAAAGTATTTCAAGAAACTGCAAGACAAGACAGAGCCTGTAAAGAGAATAATGGGAGGTGTAAATGTGAGTGTGTGGGTTTTAGTTTCAGTCTGTTTTCTTTCTTTTTTTTTTACTTGGCAGGACAGTGAGGAGAGTGGGCAGGAAAACTCAGAAAAGAGAGAAAATGTTTGCGTTGAAAGACAGTTTGATGAACATTTGAATTCTGAATTCTTTGTTTTGCTAGCATAAAAGCAAATTTTTTAAAAGGGAGCAAATGCCCAAAAAGCAAAGCAGAAATAAAATCTATATCAGCACCAAATTGATATTTTTAACATATATATTGGTGTGTATCGTCAGAATTTCACACAAAGAAGCTGTTGACTTTGGTTCATAGTTTTCTAACGCTTGTGTGCATGCATGCATCAGTATCTGCAACATCTCTACTGTACTCACACTCCACTGCTAATGGTTATCCCTCGTTCTTCAGATCGGCTGGAGTCTCTCGGGGAGGCTGTGGGTGTTAGCAGGCAGGACGACACACCAACCTCTGTCTTGCACTCCAAATCTACGAAGGAGGCAAGTATGATTCCTTGTCGTGAAACCCGAACATGCACTCAGTTTGAGATTATCAATGAAACGAAACTCACTGTTAAAGTCTGAGGAGCTGTGGTTTATTTCATCATGCTGTGTCTGATTCTGTGCATGGACAGGAAAGAAAGACGGGGGTTAAATTAAATGCAAAGAGGGAGTGTCAGAGCAATACAGAGAGAGTCATATGACCTCCGCCTAAAATGAAGGACAAGAGGAGCTAGCAGCATGAAGATGCATCATGACAAAACCACAGTGGGACATTGAGACCATCTGCTGTGGGAGTAAAAATTATGATGTGCAAAGGTATGAAGTGTACGGTTTGACAAAGCTGATGAGTCACCCTGGTGGAGAACTGAAGTCTGCCTTAGACACCTTTTGTAATAGGATTTTTCTGCCCGACTTTTGAAAGCATAGAAAAGCCTCCTGGAGATAAATGGATGCTTCCACATACTTAACCTCTCATTACTTTAACCAACAAAACTCTGTAATTGCATTTGAAATCACTCCTCTGTTGACATTGTCATTACACAATACATATACACAATACATAAGAAGTGCTTGGATAATAAGTGCTATGTTGAGCATTGCATGGTATATGTTCAAAAAAAGGTATATGCACACATTATGCAAACCACATTTGTGCTGCCATGCTGGAATTGATTAAAAAAAATTTTTGTTCAGGAATGCAAGTGAATAGCTGTATTTTGGCATCTTTAATTTAAAAAATTATAATTTAATTTAGTGTTTTTTCTGCTTTTTGTAAAACAGTCAATTTTAAAATTTGTGGATAACAACAATAATTAAAAATTCAGTTAAAGAGCATGCACGCAGTGGTGATTAACCAGTTATAGAAACATAAAAAAACATTTTGATAGTTACAAATACCTTTAATAAACCTTACACTGGGTGGTGGTCTAACACATTTTGAAGCAGTGTATATCAACATTCATATACCATATATACCACTGATACCTAATAAAGTCCTTGTCGGGTACTAATTATTTATTTTAATCATTTTCATATAAAATGCCCAGCATGCACACGGCTTCAGTGTTTGCGTATGCTGTTGGAGAAATGTTAAGAGTGTGTGATAAACTGCTGTTTACTCTGATTACATTTTCTAGATCAGTGTGGATCATAGTCAACAAATAATTACGAAACAAGAGTAATCTGTCTGATACATTTTCTTATAATTTATTTGAACCTCTTGAAAAATGTAAAGTGTTGCTAGAGGCTTCTTTTCTGGCATTCAGAACTCTTACCAGGAATACTCATTTAAAAGCACTATTTTAGTTAAAAAACGTGATAAAGGTATAACTCCCTCACCCAATCAGAACAACAGAACTAATGAAAGGGTCAGAGAGATGTCAGTCTAGCTCACTCTGCACTTACACCCTTTTTAATATTTTGTTCCTCCTTAATAACCCGTTAATCAGCATCAGGCTCTTAATCACATATTGGGCATATCAAGTAGTACAGTGTAAGACATTTCCTGATTGTATAATTATCTAAAGTGTGACAAAGCTTGGCCATTCAACATTAATCATAACGTAATATTTGCTTTTCCAATGAAAGGGAGAACTCGCACTTTTGAGATTTTACTGTTGCAGAGAGCAAAACACTGACTTCTGTGTCAAAAATTGACACAGCCTTCATTTCAAGGATAATCACTCCCATTCAGAGCTGGTTCTCTGATTGTAACCCAGTGACCAAACAGCCTCTTTAGTTAAAGAGGCCACAGTTTGCAACCATAAAGTGACTCATCAGATCAGGAACCCAACTAGAAGCAGGTTTGTTGCTTTTTCAACACTAAGAGCAACAATTTGTCCTCTAGGTTCAGTTAACACAGACTATAATGCGCTGACATGTTTGATGGAGAACAGTAATGGAAAACAAGATGATTCTTGGAATATGCCATTGTGTACCTGAGATTTATTTTTAAAACAACTCATCAGATTTGGCTCAGTGGAATTTTGTTTTTGGAAATCCAGCATGTGTCGCTGACACAAGTATTAAAGGTAGGGCTGTGCGATATGACCAAAATCTCATATCCCGATATAAGAATTCTATCGTCCGATAACGATATAAATCACAAAAATGTAACATTTTCTGTAAATTCTGTGAATCTCGGGCAGCTTGACTTGCGGGAAGTGTTTCCAGCTGCGCGTCATGTAGCTGGAGTCGAGTGTTTTAACCGATGCATGAAACGATACAGTTTTAAACATAAGTTGTAAAAGCCGCCGTTTTCTTTGTGAGTATTTATTACACGGCGTGCTGCGGGGAAAAGCCTGTTCTAACGTTTGAGTCTAAGGTTTTTTTTTTAGCACCTGGCGGCTCTTTTTTGCTTCTCATCCGTAAATAATCTGCTCTTTCACGTGATTCAGTTTATTTTGAAAGTCTCAACAGGATCTTGAGCTTTATTGTGAAAGGTTTATGTGGAACATAAACAAGCGGACACGCGATGCTGTTACCGTCGTTGTTGCTAACCACAATGCATAAAAACAGGTAAACAGTTTATTTTGCGACACCACGAAACAAAGGATAGCGTAAAATGAAACATAGACATTTTTATATCGTCATCCGATATATATCGTTATATCGAACAGCCCTAATTAAAGGTAACAAAACTTTCTTGGAATGATCTACAAGAATGTTGGAAGTGGTGCAGGACTGCCCAAGGAGGTTATCTTAAAATCAGGTTTAATTTTTACATTTTTATATACTTTTATATACAAGTTTTGTAACTTCACAATCATGAGTTGTAGTTACATTGTGACAGTTAGACCAATAAGACCTACAAAACCATTTAAATAATAACTTCTACATGCAGTGCAGAAAAAATATAATGTGAAATCTTTAATATTTTTAATTATTATTTTTTATAGTTATTAGTGTCCTTGAATTAAATAAGCAGATGGATGGATGGATGGATGGATGGATATTTATTTGAGAAAGTTCTTTGATGAGTTAAGATAAATTAAATGAAAACAATTAGTGCATATTATTGAGTTTTCTTAAAGTTTGCTCTCAGATTTGTTGCTTGAACTGATCTAACTGTGTGCTAAACTTGGTTTAATAGGTTAAACTGGGGAAAAGCATGAGATGGATTTTCTGTAATTGGTTGCAGGATTTTGAGTTTTGGGGTTTAAATGTTTGTTTCCATTCTCGTACTCTAAGATTTTGATTATTTGTTAAGCTGACTTTGGGATTTCCTGTTTTGATTTATTTATTATTAAAAGTATATTGTGAGTGTTTTTTATTTCAAGGTTTCTACTGATATTTGTAGTAGGAGTAGTAGTAGTTTTCCTTACTCTGATAAAAAATAATTGGCTTGTATATTTAAACAGACTAATAACATACAGAAATTTCCTTAACAACCTAAGATCAGCCACGTAAGTACAGAACTCTGATTCCGCCTTCAGATGATTCCTCCTTCCTTCTTATGAGATGCTAAAAAAACGCTTTTAAGGATTTGAGAAAAAATCAAATATACGAAAGATGTCGATGAATTAAGGTATTCAAATTGAGTGAAGTCATTGTCATGTTGAAAATACCCCCCAGTTTTGGATGATTTGAGCTTTGTGATATGGCACGTAATCCTCAGAAGGTGGGTATGCCCTTATCATAAAGGGATAACATTTTCTATGGTTATGTAGGAAAGTTGCAGCAGATCAGCAGTTTCAGAAATACTCAGACCAGCCTGTCTGGTACCAACAACCAGGTTCAAAGTCACTTAAATCAACTTTCTTCCTCATTCTGAAGCTCAGCTTGAACTTCAGCTGGTTGTCTTGATTATGTCCACAGGCCGATATGCACTGAGCTGCTGCCATGTGATTGGCTGATTAGATATTTATGTTAGTTGGCAGTTAGACACTTCTAAAATAATAATCGGAAAAATGAGTTCCTGACTAGGAAAACTGAAAAGTCTGAGAAAGTTTCGGCAGATACAGACACTGAGTTGTTGACATCATATAGGCAGCATCATGGAGGATAAAAGTTGATGTCAATTCATGTCATTCATAAAATAGTCCAAATTCACATCTTTTGTTTTTTTGCAAACATTTAGCTTGTAATTTAGGATTTTCACTAATGACCACTCCTCTAGGAAAAGAGCATTACGACACAAAGAATACTTTCACATTTAATGCTCCAGTATATTTGACTTATAATACTTGTGTACTATCAGTCAAACCATTTTGAATGATTGAAAAAACAGAACAAAACAAAAACAAAGTGGACGACACATGTACTTACACTCACTTGCACCTCCATTGGTATCTGATCAGGGGAACCAGCTCTCTCTTCCATGACTGGACCATTACTCTGTGACTGCGAGGCTCCCTGAACTGGTGTGTCGGGGATGAAATCAAGCACCGGCAAACCTGAAAAAAAAAAAGTCAAAGCAAGGTAAAAAGACTGAAGAAAGGAAATTCTATATCTGAAAATAGTTTAATGGTAGCATAGGAGCAACTATTTATGTAATTTACTGTGTACAGTACTGTTAAAAAGTCTTGAGCTACTCCTCATTTCTATATTTTTTACTTCCAAGGAGCCAGACTTCCTTCTGATTTATTAAAGTGCTCTTGATTCCAGGAAGGTATTTTGAAGGTTCTTTTGGACATTGGTTGCTTTTTCATTCATTTTCTGTCCAGTCCTGGTAACTGGCTATTCACAGCGGACTAGTGCTTTGTTTTTTACGTTCCCTAACACCTAAGTGTAAAAAAAAAAGTATAAATTGTATGTGTAGGCACTTTATTACCAGCACCCAGTTGCAAAAATGCATAATGCGTTCCCAATCCTTTAGCTGAATTCACAAAATATGTCAACGATAACACAATTTCTTTGTGTTATTAAAGAAAATGTGTATGGACTGACCCAGTGAAACCTCATAAGAAATGGTCTCAGTGGAAGGGTGGTTATCAAGAAGCTATTCTTAAGAAAGAAAAACAGGGAAAGGGCTGATGCATGGCAAATTACATAAGAACTGAACTGAAAATTAGTAGCAACAGGTTCAAATACAGACATCAACATTACTGAGGCGCTGTGAGATCATCTTGCCAGAGACCTGAGCAAAAGGGAGCCAACATCCGAAGAAGAGCTTTGAAATGTCCTTCAGGAAGCCTGGAGAACAATTCCTGAAGACTACTTAAAAAAATAACAGGAATGCTTACCTAAGCAAGTTCAGTCTGTGCTGCAGAACAAAGGTGGTCAAGCCAAATATTTACTTTGAAACGCCTCAGAATTGTACAAACTCTATTTCTATATATGTCTGCAAAGTTCAATAAGTTGCTGCCCACATTCCCATTTTCACAGCAAAACATAAAGAAAGAAAAAATTATTCAAGTATTAAATAATTACTAGTATTAGTTATTAGTTATTAGTATTAGTCTGGAGTTTGAAATTGTTGTTGAAGAAAAATTAAAAACTTAAAAAAGTCCAATTTAAAGTTGGAAATCAGTTTGAAAAGAAAAAAACAAATAACCACTTGAAGGTTTTAAGAAGCAGCAGCCGTGGTCAGTAAAGAGCTATTTAATATAACCGTGAGAATATTACTAGTTCTTTAATGAGGCTGCCTCTGAGTACACACAGCCATTCAGTGCACACACCTTTGCCTCCCTCCTGCTGCTCCTGCTGGGGGCTCTCCTGCTTTGATGCTTTCTGGATCTCAGCATCTTCTCTGATTTTCTCAATGAGCACTGGTTCGGTTGTCATGGCTACCGGGGATAGTCCGCCCTCCTCCTCAGAACTCCGAGTATCCTCCTCCTCCTCTTCTTCCTCGTTGTCTTCCCGTTCCTCTTCTTCATTGGCTGTTTCCATCGGCTCATTCTCCTGGAGAGAGGGTGACGGCGGCTGCAAGCACACATAAAGTTGTATCAGAAGAAACGCAATAAAAAAAAAGCGGGTGGGGGTGCACTGCTTTTCGAGATGAGTTTAAAGCTAAGTTAATCGCTCCCTAAGTTTTGAGGGGTTTAAGAGCATATCAGGTCTGCTGAGCTTCTCCGGGGCAGACATTGCTGCTCATAAACACCCCCCACTTGGAGAAAGACATCAGAAATAACGATAACCGCCTACTATAGCTAAGTTTGCACGCACACACAGGGTGGAGAGGGAGAGCGCGAGGGAGGAGAGTGCGCTGTCAGAAATGACACAAAGGACTTAATGAAGCAAGAAACGGGAGGGGTAGTGGGACATGAACGGGGAGGCTATAATAAAAACGTTAGAATGGCGCTTTTATTATATGAGTAAACACGATGTCCGGCTGATGGGGCTGAGTCCTCCGTCGGCCTGCGCGACAGAGCAGCGCTCACAGGAGCGCGGCAGCGGCACGTCTCAAGTTTAGACAGACACCGCCTACTGCGCGGCAGGCCCAGACACTCTGCGCTCCGGTGTGCACGGCTAAAGTTTATAGGAACGAAATCAGATGTTATTGACCCGAAAACAGCGAAGTGGAAACGAAATCTGTAGGTGCTCGTGCACGCGCCGCGCACAGACGCTCTTTGGTGCGCGCTCTCGCCCTGGGAGCCGGGGAAAGCCGCTCCGGAGCTGTCTGCTCCTCTCTGTAACCCGCACCTTTTGTGCAGGAATCCGAGCTATACATACACACACAGACAGAGACACGCATTTGGCGAGGCTACAGAGGACAAACGCAACACAGGCACGGTCGCATCCCACTGACAAGCATTCGAGACAATAACGCATTTCCTCAAATGCCCTCAAACACTTTTTGAAACATTGAGGTTTGACGAGAAGAAGAAAAAACGAAGCACACGCCGGGCGACGGAAGCGCGTCCTAATGCTGTGCGTGCGGTTTCAACCCGCGATCATTAATTTATCGGCAATCCATCGAGCCAAAGCTGCTCGCTGAGCCCCGCACAGTCCAGACGTGTCGAAAATATTAAGTTAGCGTTGCCCACCTTTTTCACAGCGTGTTTGTCCTGCAGTGCGCTCTTTGCAAGTCTGTCAGCGGACGCATTCTTCGGCATCGGTTCCTCTACCACCACCCCCCTCAGAGGGAGAGTAATGTTCCCGCAGCGGGTCCTGCGCAGCCTGCCCCTCGCCACCTCTCTCTCCATGACCACTTTGACTTTGCCTCGGGTCAGCTTTTCCTCCGACAGCCGTTCCTGGCTGCTCAGATAGCCCAGGATCTCCTTCAGCCCAAGCGGCTTCATGTGGCCTCTGGTCACAGTGGCTGAGCCCCCTCGGAGGCTCTTCTCGGACAGGCTGCGAACAGAAGCGACTAATCTGTCGCCCAGGTCCGAGTTAGCGTGGTTCCCCGTTGTTTTGGTGCTCCCTCCTCCGACTCGAAGTTTGGGCTTGAGGGGAACAGACTGCTTCTGCCTTTGATTCTGATGAACACTGCTGACACTCCCAGGGCAAGTTTTGCTCTGCGTGTCAGCCCGGGACACAGCACACTCCTTTTCTGCGCTAACTGCACCGGCTTTGCTCTGAGCCGTCCTGCCGCCGTCAGCCCCGCTGTGTGCGCCTGTCCTGTGGCCGAAACCGGGCGACGGGCAGTCCCCCGCCGCCTGCTGTCCCAATCCCTTGTCTCTCGGTGCACTCGCTTTCTCCTCTTTACAGCCGCTCCCGACAGCACAGCCCGTTGTTGCGCCACAACTGAGGCACCCGTTTCCGCTACTCGGGCTGGAGGCAGGCTTGAGCTTTTTGCCGGTGGTGCTGCCTGATGTTTGAGTGTGTGGATCTGGGCTGGGCTCCGAGTCCTCCTCTGCCTCCTCCTGGTCCGTGAAGCTGTGCGCACTGTCGCCGTTGTTGTTCAGATGATCGTGTTTGGTCCGCTCCCTCGCTGCCTCCGCGCTGCTGCTGCTGCCAGCGGCCGTAAACTCACTCTTCTTTCTGCTTTTCCTCTGCACCTTCGCCGCGTTTCGGTACGATATGGACCCCTTGTAGCTAACTTTGAGCACCGTCTGCTCTTGAATCAGTTTTTCCAGTTCTGTCCTGGTTCGGTCCGGGTCTGACCCGTGTCGTCTCCGGACCATTCGACAGATCCTCTCCAGATCCGGACGGGCTTTTCTCGAGCGGAGAGAGTCGATTGTTTCCAGGATCCACTCTCGGTACTTGTTTGGCTCGGACATCTTCTCCTGCTGGTGCGGATGGGGTTTGGCCCGAGTGCGTCTCTTTTTCCTTCTCTGTTGTTTCACAAGTGACGCTGTGTCAAAGCTGGGAAGCCAAAGTGCGATCCCCGGCTGGAGAATGAGGACGGAAGCCTGGCTGGTACGCTTGCGTTCGTTTGCCACATTGTGCGCTTAAGGTGGACCGAAGATGGCGCCTATGGTCTCTGCCGCCAGAGACGCAAATTGCATTTAAGGTGGAATTGACTCGCATTCGCGTGGCTCAGAGCCACGTTCTTTGTTCGCAGTCTTATTCTGATCAGCCTGCGGTTTACAGCAGCACAGTGGATTTCAGCACAAAGAAACACACACGCAGCCTCCGTCGAGGACACCCCGGGTATTTGCGTGTTATATTTTTGAGCGTTATGGCGAATGAGAGTGAGCCGCGCGGTCAACAGATGGGTGGATGACGGCTTCACCCCGCATCAGGCGGGAGTGATGGATGTCACCTCAAGACTACGCCAACCTCCCACAGAGAACACTTTAAATACCTCAGCATCCGCTCACTTTTCGGCAAACGTGGAACTTTCACGTTTCAGCTCCACACCCAAATGAGGACGCGGGAGTTCAGGAGAATTTTACAAGTAAAACTTTATTGGAATGATACTCATGTTGCAAAATATTACACTTCGTATTTTTATGTCACCGTTTCCGTGACTTTAGACGCTTCCCTTTGCAGTGTGTGTATGTGTGTGTGTATAGTATGTCTGTGGCGGGGGTTAATATGGTTTATATTGGGGTCTCATTTCCCTAAAAAGTGCGACAGTATGTACCAGCATTGTGCCTGCATGGAGAGGAAGTTGTATCACTGCAAAAACATCGAGGAGACACATAATAATATTGTATTATAACTTCAAACATTTTGTCCATGATGATATATTCAACATTAAACCTGACATGGAGGAAATACAGCGAATGTGAAACCTCAACAAGTGATGTAAACAGTTTATTAATAATAATAATAATGGTTTTTAAATTAACCAATAAGCCAGCTGATGACTACAACTAGGCTTACAGCTTGCAGCTCTTTCCACCATTTATCTGCCACTATGATTTTGGCGTCAGATTCATTGATAAAATCTGGAGTTTTTCAGCTGGTTAATCTGCCTCAGTGAAAAAGAAGGGGAAACATTAATACAGGAGAGACATGTCGGATCCATGTTAGTTGCCTTGTAAGTGACTCATTTCTCTGTGAAGCCCCAGGTTTACTGTGGCAGTTGGTTTGTGGTCATTTAACTTTACTTTTGGGACTATGCCACACACAAGCACAATATCCAGTAGCCTTAAAAGTGACCCAGCATTATTGTCCTAGTCCATTTATTCTGAAATGCTGTCTCCTGTTTCAGTTGATATCTCTTTCTCTCTGTTAAATAAACTAATAAAAGGAAATTAAATACACCACATCACCCATGTAATTCTGACAGGCCTTGCAGAGTCACAAACAGCCTGCGTTACAAACTGTACATTTATGCAGAATTTAAAGGATGTGGGAGATGTAGGACTTTGTTTTTTGGAGCTTGACCCATGCAAGGCACTAATAAGATAACGCAGCCTCTGATGCAAGTTTACTAAACAGTAAAGCTGAATCACCGGAGTGGTCCTTTAAGACCTTCAGCTGACACTGTGCTTCTGTGATGCACATTCTCAAATTGATCTTTTTTTTAAACAAATTACCACACTGTAAATCTGGGGTCACGCACAGAGTGGGAAAAGAGTGTTGATAGAATAAATAAGTAAATATGGCAAGTGGACAATTAGCTGTGGGGGCTATTGTTCCATATTACAAATGATAGACACAAACCATTACACATAACAAATGTGTATCCTGGAGAAAATGCTTGATATATATATATGTATATATATATGTTTTTGCTATCTGAACTGTTTCAGACTTGAGGGAAGTATGTGAATTTATATTATCCAGTTTATAACGATGGGAGAAAAACCAAAGCGCCTGTATAAATCAAATTAGGAAACCATCATTATTGTGGCACATTAAATTACAGCAATAAAGAAGGCATTTTGATGTCTGAAACGAACATCAGTGTCACTTTGTTTTATCTCATAAATTGTGAATGAACAAATCCTACAGTAACGACCCTCTCTGGCCATTGCTGAAATATTCTGTGACCATAGCTCAGGAGCCAAGAAGACACTGAATACCAAAAGTGCTATTTGTTGTATTCTTCAAATCAGCAGGTTGTATACCGTGCGCTATGATTATTTTTCTCTCTTCTCGGTATTAGCTCGATTCACCGCCAGAAGCTCTAGCTTTCACTAACTTGTTAAATGGAGTGCCAGTCATCTTTACATCATCACCAACACACAAAAAACAAAACGAAACAAAAACTGTGCATGTTTAAAACACATAAACAGTAACAGAGCTGCTGTCACATATAAGACTGTCACATAGAGTGTGGTCCTACTTTACAAGTGATAAGAAGAAAGGGATGGGTAATAAGATGAGGTGAACATGAATACATATTTCCATTGAAGACCATAAAAGCGCACTATTCAAACTGCCATCAGTGACTGGTCAAAATGCTCTGAAGGCCACCAGCCGGAAGCAGTTCAAGGTAGTTTGCCTCAAGCGGTCTCTTTCAGTTGGAGTAATCAAGGGCCAAAGGCTTGATTCAGTAAGAAGAATCACTGTGGCCATTACGTAAACTCTGAGCCGAGACAGGAAGTGCTTTCATGAAAACAAAGTTGTCGAGTCAGTTAGCAAAATCAAATCTTCTGGAAGGGCAAACTGTGGAAGACGCTAACCAAAAGTCTGAATATTCCCTTTTGTTTCTCTTAATTTGAACCAGAACTTTAAATTCCCAAATCCATATCACAGATTTACCTGCTGATCCTAACACTGTATGTTAATAAAATGTCTATTAAGTGATATGTTCAAACCTGAGATACCATTACGTTACAGTGTTTCTTTAAAACACCCTTAAAAACTGAGTTAATTCCATCCCCTTACTCGTATTTCCTTGTTTGTTAGCGTGACATGATATCATTGGAGCCACTAGTATCTAATAACATTTAAAATGGAGTACCGTAGATATGCACTAATTCTAACAATGATAAGAACGGTAGATGGATAGTTACACAGTAAACGTAACTGACTTTTTTTCCCCTTAAAACATCATCTGTCTCTCGATGAAATTTATTTTGCACACACAATGCATTCATTTTTTTTGTTTTTTTTTGTTGGCCCATCAAGCCTTAAGTTATGTCGTGTGTCTATGATATGAAAGGGTAAAAGTTTAAATTCTGAAGGAAAAATTGAGATAAAACTGCAAAATGTAAAGTCATCCAAGCTGAAAGTACATATGTGTGCAAGACCTATTAAACCTGCTACTTACATGCCCTTCCTGCTTAAAAAAAACAAAGAGCATGTTAGCCAGTTGTCGGTTAAAATTTAAGAAACTTTTGTCCAGACTGAGACCTAAACTTGCACAAAACTCATTAGTCTTCATGTAATGACTAAGAGGCTGGACTAGATCAGCACAGACAGACTGATTTCTCTTTGCTGCGGTGTGAATATGACTAAAAGATGGATTTAAAAAAAGGAAAAGGAAAAGGGAAGATCTCGGGTGAAAATGTGTAGAGGCAACTCCAAATTAGTTGGATTCTCAACACCCATGAAGCACACCTTCATTATAAAGGGATCCATAAATAAGACAGAATAATAAATAAAACACAACAAAAACACAACAGAAAAGGCAACACTGCTGGTTATCAGTCTCCTTGCTCTTTTTTCCTTCTCTATCCGATTTTTCCTCTTTGTAGCTGGTGCTTGTGATTGGACAGGAGACAGTACTTTCTCCTTATGTCTCCCACTTGACCAGCCTACCTTTGACTCTCCCTATTTCCTTCTTTCTTCCTCTCTTGCTCTCTAACTCTAGAACTCAGCAAACTCCTTGGCACATTTCTCAGTGAAGGAGACGCGAATCTCCTCCTCCTCGTAGTCGTCGAAGTTGCTGGTGTCGCCTGGTCCTTTGAACTTGGGGATGAAGGGAGCTTCCACCTAAAGTCACATAAAGGAAACTATTATAAAACAAACTGAAGGGAAGAAAAGTCTCACATGCCACACAGTACACTCACCAAAACATACCTTTTTCTGGTAAATGGCAATCCAGTCAGTTGTTGCAAACCACTTGTGTCCCTTGATATCATTGACCCCATTTTTGAGGTTTCCATAACGTTTTGTAAGATCCACCTTAAAATAACACAAACATATTTTTCTCACGGTCACGTTAAAGAAAAAATAAATGTAACCTAAACGTCTGAATGCCTGCGGTATTTGCTCTCACCTGTAACAGGTTCCTTAGGAGGTCTTTCAGGTCTGAACTGAAGTGAGACGGGAAACGAACCTAAGGGCAGAGCACAAAATGAGGATTGAACCAGTGATAACTTCATGTAGTGATGAGATTCAGGCTCTCGGGTTCGTTATCTTCTGTAGTGAAGCACTGGTAGATTCTTATAATACAATGACATGGCTCTATGTAGTTCTGGGAAAAACTAAGTACATCATATGAATCAGTAGCTTGTAGAAGAACCTTTTCCAGCAATAACTTCCAGTAATTGTCTTGAGAGACTTCCCAGACTTCTCACATTGTTGTGGAGGATTTTTAGCCCACTCTTCTTTACAATGGTTGCTTCGGTTCATTGAAGCTTGCTGGCGTGCATTTGTGCACAGCTCTCGAGTTCCAGCTACAGTAATTCAATCAGGTTTAAGTATGGACTTTGACTAGGCCGTTGAACCTTCTGTTTTAGATTTGCTCGTGTGTGTGAGATGACTTTCTCGTTGGTCAACCAAGCTTCCTTTGTCGGAAAAATGGTGTCACATTTGACTCTACAGGGAGTGCAAAATTATTAGGCAAATGAGTATTTTGTCCACATCATCCTCTTCATGCATGTTGTCCTACTCCAAGCTGTATAGGCTCGAAAGCCTACTACCAATTAAGCATATTAGGTGATGTGCATCTCTGTAATGAGAAGGGGTGTGGTCTAATGACATCAACACCCTATATCAGGTGGGCATAATTATTAGGCAACGTCCTTTCCTTTGGCAAAATGGGTCAAAAGAAGGACTTGACAGGCTCAGAAAAGTCAAAAAT